CAAATAAAATTGCAATGTAGGTTTAAATGCCTCTATCCAATCAGTGTTATATTAAGTATGAAAAAACAGTATCTATTAACATTCCAATTTTACTTTAAAAGCATTATTACTATACCTAACATTATATAACTGGCTCACATATGCTAAAATGGTCATGGGGTCATAGAGTTTCATTTAGCACTTTATTGCTTTTAAACATTTTTCTTGAGCCTTACAATCTGATTTCTTTATAAGAATTTCCACATTCATCGTAAGAATGATTTCTTACAGAATTAATTTCACAAAGATATCTTATACTGCCAAATATTAATATTTGACATTACCCAATCATATTCCATAATACACAGAAATGCCAGAATTGCATGAATTTATAAAACAAGTATTAGTGTCTGCAAGGTAGGAAAAGCCCACATGGTCCAAATTCCTTATTTTAAAGATAATGATACTGAGGGACACAAAGAACACCTATCAGAATATTCATGAAAAAACCAATTTCCAAATTAAGGAGTCAAGTTCCACACTCAGACTTATTTCCTCTAATCTGCACCATAGGACAAGTGCTCTGGAATCAGGTACAATTCTAGCTGTTCTGTTACTTATTTCAGAGTTATAAAAACTCTAGCAATATCCTTGAAAAGAAGAAATATTATTCCATGAAAAGAAATCTTTATAAATATTTTCCATATACGTGTGTACTTTCTAGAATAGAGTTTCTCAACCTTAGCACCAATGTCATTTTGGACTGGATAGTTCTTGAGAGTGAGAGAGGGAAGACTGTTAGGTGTATTGTAGAATATGTCTGTGATTAAAAATTAAAGTATCTTCATTCACTCCTTCAAAAAAACACCGTAACTTGGCTTTTTATTAAAAAAAGAGAGAGAGATAGAGAGAGTGGAAGGTAACATTTCATTTATGTACAAACTCAACTTAGAAGCTGCTCTCATTCATAACCCAGGGTTTGCATGTAATGTTTTACATACACCCCCAACTCTAGAAAATAGGCAATTAAAACAAACCAGGATGACGATAGCATGGAAGATGCCAAAATGGAAATAAGAGATTAAATTAACATACAAATTACAACAACCAAAAGCCCACTCAAGAACAATGGAAAGAAATCTAAGTAACTCTGAAAAATAATCCCACATTTAAAAAGGCCAAAAATTAAAAAGAACTGCACAAAAGTAATGTACTTAGTAAATGTACTTTTAATAATGCATGGGTAGGGAGATCTGGTGGCCTAGAGGCAAGAAGCTGCACTGCAATCCCAGAAGTATATGGTTTGAATCCACCAGCTGCCCTGCTGGAGAAGGAGGGCAATCTCCTCCTGTACCTGTCAGAGGCAATTTGATGGTGTCCGCGCGCGCACACACACACACACACTTTTTTAAAAATGCATAGGATTACTGTTGTCAAATTGGCTTTACTCACAATGACCCTACAGACAACAGAACAAAACAGTGTCTGTCCATGGTAAAGGTTATCAATTCTAAAACTACTTTATGTTCATACTATGAGTGAATAAACAACGTATCCCATAAAGGAACAGGGATATTAATATGTGCCGACAAAAAGATTTGGGGAGGTGGTCAGTAAATGGACCTATGTGTCCCAGCTCTACCTGTGACGGGCCTATAAAAATAATACCTCAGCAGCAAATAACACATCTAGCCATCCAGATTTATACAGATTTGGGATTATAAACATCATTTCTTCAATAAAAGAGGCCAGGGTTGTTAGGGAAAGAGTTGTTGTGGTGAGTCGGGAAAATGGCAAGATGTATTTGAAATATCCTGAGGTGTTACAAGTAGATATTTTTTAAAAAGCACAGAAATTTTTTTAAAAAAATGAAAGGATTTAACTGAAATTATTTGAACAAAATAAAGAATGACAGTATTAGAACATAATTCAGGGAACAAAATAAACATCCATGACCTAAGACTGAAATAAATAAATAACTGAGTAATATATAATAAATGTGAAAGAAGACAATCAAGTAAGAAAGGGAAATGAAAAAAAAAATCACAATTATGAAACTATCACAGTAAAATCGTTGCCAGCAAAATCTCCTGATGAACCTAAATATAGTGTATCCCCAAGATATATTTTTCACTGCGTCAAATGGACAAATATTAGCATATTCTCAAAAACCACAGTGTCAAAATATGCATTAACTACAAAAAAAGGAAAAACAGTGACCTTACAGAGGAAAAACCTGGCAAACACTAAGTGCTGCACATTAACAGAACTCATGATAGAGCATTTCAGTGTCATGAACTTCTGATCTGACGCACTGAAAGTACATCCACTTTCGGCCTAAAACACAGAAATCTCACTCTGATCACAGGAAAATATCAAAGTACACTAGAAGCAAGCTATAAAACAACCAATCAGTAGTTTCCAAAAGTGTCAGTCATAAAAAAAATAAAGGCAGGCCTAGGAACTACCACACTAAGAGGACTAAAAAGAGGACATAACAGCCAGGTGTTTATTAAATGAAATGAGGGATTCTGAATCAGATTCTGAAACAGAGCAATGACATTAATGGGATAATTAACGAAAGTCAAATAGGGTTTATAATTAATTATATTTCATTAGTATTAATGCTCTTTTGGTAATTATTCTATGATTATATAAGTATTAGCATTATTCCTTGTTTAAGAAGTGAGTTTGTTTACAATAAGAGAAATTTAGCAATGAGTATGGGTGATGGTTGTGCATAAATAATGTAACTGGTATCCCTACAATGTAAACCTGGAAAATGCTTAACTAGCAAATGTTTTTTACAACAATAAACATTATTATTTATTTACTACAATTTAAAATTACATAAATATATTAGCATTCAAGAAAGCATTTATTTATAACAATGTATTTATTTACAACAATAGGAAGCATGATAAAGTATAATAGAGATGTCTAATGTCTCTGAAATAGTTTAACTTTTCTTTAAGTGTAATATCAACTAAAAGTAACAACTGAGAAAAGTAAAACCTGTAAATTAAGTCAGTTGGTTTTTGTTTGGGTTTTGTTTTTTTTTAAAGTTTTCCTAGAGATCTACAGATTCAACCTGAAGGAGGTTAGGTTAGCTCCAACTTGATGATACATAACAACAACAGATTAAATGAGGTAGTTTTATATTTGCATTAGGGAGCTCAGATGACCTACAGGTAAGGAGATTCCTTGTTAATCCTCTGGACAGTCACAGCTATGAGTTGGTTCCATCCTGATGGCAAACAACATTAACAACAAGAATAAATCTACATTATACTTGTCTGCTGAGTTTGAGAGCAGTAAAACTATCAATTCACAAAATTCTATGAGTAAACATTATCTTTGTCACTCTATTTGTAAACTAATAAGATATCGTGTTCAAGGTCATGTCATAAAATGTCAAAACATAAGAAAAATAAAATACTAAAATATTTCAGTTTATATAGATGTGCACATGAAAA